GGGAGCTCGGCCCGGGCGTGGCGGCCGCGCTGCCCGCGCTGCACACGCTGGTGCTGCGGCAGAACGCGCTGGGCCCGGCCGGGCTGGGCGAGGGGCTGGGCGGGCCCCTGCCCGCGCTCCGCCTGCTCGACCTGTCCGGGAACGGGCTGGAGGCGCTGCCGGCCGCGCTCGGCGGCACCGGGGACGGCGCGGGGGACGCGGCCCCGGCGTTCCCGCAGCTGCGCGGCCTCAACCTGAGCGGGAACCGGCTGCGGGAGCTCGGCCCGGGGCTCGCCCGCGCCGCCCCGCAGCTCCAGGAGCTGCTGCTCTCCGGGAACCGCCTGCGGGCGCTGCCCGGGGGGCTCCTGCCCCCGGCGGGCCCCGCCGCGCCCTTCCCGCTGCTCAGCCGGCTGGACGCGGCCGACAACGAGGTGGCGGAGCTGGGCCCGGACATCGCGGCCCTGCCGGCGCTCAAGGTGGGAGCGGGCCCCGGGCTCCCTCCGCACTCCCGGGTCCCCATCGCCCGGCCCTGACCGTCCCTCTCTGTCTCCTCCAGAGCCTGGACGTGGCCAACAACCAGCTGCGGGAGCTGCCCTCGGCGCTGGCCGACTGCCCCCGGCTGAAGGAGGCCAACTTCAGGGGCAACCCGCTGCGGGACAAGCGGCTGGAGAAGATGGTCAACGGGTGCCAGACGAAGGCCATCCTGGAGTACCTGCGGGCCGGGGGCCGCGGGAAGGGGAAGGCCGAGAGCGCCAGGGAGGAGGTCAGGAAGAAGAAGAGGGAGAAGCAGCAGAAGAAGGACGGTGGGGATGGGGAGCAGGACGAGGTGGAGGAGGCGAGCAGGCTGCTGGTGAAGGTTCTGCACGTCTCCGAGAACCCGGCGCCCTTGGTGGTCAAAGTGAGCCCGGGCGTCAAAGATGTTCGCCCCTTCATCGTGTGCTGTGTGCTGAAGGGAGTGAACCTAAAGCCGGGAAACGCCCTCAAGAGGTTCCTGTCAATGCAGGTAACTGCTGCTGCATCATGGTACTTCTTTGCAACAGGAATGTTGCTGTCAGAGTTGGAAATAGACTGTTCTAGGCTCCTTCCAGCAGATGAGTTTGTGAACTGTAGGGTGGGAGGGTCCAGGGGTGGCCGTGCAGAGTGGCCTGTGCCAGCAGCACGTGCCCAGTGAGTCCAGAATCAGCAGAACTGGTTTTTGGGAAGGACCTGTTAGAGCTCAGGTGTTGCCATGAGGGCAGTGGATGTGCTCACGTTTGTGTTGTGTCTGTAACAGCAGCTCGTCGGTGCTGTGGAACCTGTTGAGAGCTAAAAAATAAACCTGTGTCCACGTTAGATGGATCCTGGTTTGGCTCCAGGTTCCCTGATCTGTGCTAAAACCGTGTTGCACACCCAACCCTCTGACTGAGGCATCCTACCCACAGACCTGTCCCTTAGGTGGCAGGTGGGAGCTGCTCTCGAGTTACAGAGTATGTTACAGAGTCAGTGATTTCTGACTTAAAACTTGATTTCCCAGTTGAGAAATGTCTCACATGCTGCTGGGCTTCACTGCCTTTGTGCTTGGGCTGCAGTGCAGATACAGGCACCTCGCAGGGGAAGGGAAGGGCTCTGTTTCATACTCACCTGGCTGGTAGCGCTGCAGAATTAAATACAGAAGAATCTGCACCCCAAAAGGGATAAATCACTTTTTGATTTATTTTATTTTAGACTAGGCTGCACGAGGACATCTGTGAGAGGCGCACAGTGGCCACCATTGCCACCCACGACTTGCAGCTGGTCAAAGCTCCTCTGACTTACGACACTCAGCCTCCTGACGAGCTGAAGGTAGGGCTTGGCAGTAGTTTCTTACCCCACAGATCCTAGAAAACTAATTTCTGAAACTTTACTTTAGAAGCTCTACTGATTTTCTTGCTATCCTGCTGTACCAGGTTTAGTACCAGTGACTGAGCCTGTATTTCAAGTGGGTGTTGTGGCTTACACAAAGGTTTAAACTCACAGCACTCCATGAGAAGTGGAAGGTGTATTTCCAGGCTGAAAAAGGCATGGGGAATGACAACATACAGGAGTATGGTTTCAATTACTGACTTGCTCAGAGGAGTTTTGAATTCAAATGTTTGTTTTCTTGTGTGGTGCAGATAATGCCCCTGGGTCGGAAGGAGATCAAGGCAAAGGACCTTCTCCGGCAGCTGCATTTGGAGGCTGAGGAGCAGAGGAAGCAGAAGAAGCGTCAGAATGTCTCTGGGCTGCACAAGTCAGTACCCTGGTCATTTGTGGTTTTCTTCACACACATTTAGGTGGCTGTACTGGGGATGGGGCTCACAAACCCAGCACAAGCTCTTGGGAGTTGAGGTGAAAAACACTGAATTTTTGCACGAAGAGTAACCCGGAAGGAAGGGAGGATGCTCAGTGCCCTTCCAGTGTTTCTGTCTGCATCCAGAGTAAATCATTGTCATGTGAGTTATTCAAGAGGTGACAAATCTATTTAGAACAGCAAATAGAAGGGAAGCAGAGAATAAAGAAGTGTATGTGGTGCACATTCAGCAAAGTAAGTGAATCAGAGATGGGGTAAATCTGCAGGTGCGGAGCAGATGAGCATGTGGCTCTGCCCTGTGCTGTTCACTGCTCGTGCAGAGGTCACACACTAATTCCTTTTTGTCACTGTTTTCTACCATTGTGTCCAGCTGCTCTCTGTCACTCACTGTTTCTTTTGGCAGGTACCTGCAGTTGCTGGATGGCAAAGACAACTACCCGTGCCTGGTGGATGCTGAGGGTGCTGTGATTTCCTTCCCACCAATAACCAATAGTGAGAAAACAAAGGTACTCTCTGTTCATGAGAATACATTAGTCAATTAAACAGTGTTTCTTTCTGCTGAGAGTTAACACAAAGACACACACAAGTTGTGTTCCAGATATAAACCCTCACAGCCTGTGTCTTGTGTGCTCAGCTGTCAGACTGAGAGGGATCTGGGAGTTAGAGTTGTACCTCTGGAAATCTGTTCCAAAGGCACCAGCCTACCTGTGCAGAGGCTTTGTGGAAGGGCAGGAGTAAAAGAACAGCAGTGCTTAACCCCTGGTTAAATCAAGTGAAAGCCTTTAGTTCTGTGTATTGAAATGTGTCAGAGGGCTGTGGGTGAGATGCTCTGACTCCTGACTTGCTTTAACTGTGAAACTCTTACAGATTAGAAAAGAGACCCGTGACCTGTTCCTGGAGGTGACGAGCAATACCAGTTTACAGATCTGCAAAGATGTGATGGACACGCTCATCCTGGTAGGGAGATCAGGAAAACATCCTGTCTCTTCTTGGTGGGCTCCTACCAAATGTGTCATTGCTCAAGTGCACGGAGAAGAACACAGAAGTTGATTTGTATTTTAGCAGTATTGTTATTCCCTCTCATTAATTCTCTGCCACAGAATTGATCTTGTTCTCTGTATTTTGCTTTAACAGAAAACTGCAGAACTGAACAGGTTTACCTTGGAGAACAAGGAAGGCTCAGGCTCGGATACCGAGCTGGATGCTCTCTGTGGACCAGGGAGTTTGGAGCCCGGGAACCTGCCACTGGTGTTGGAGCAGGTGCGAGTGGTGGACACGGATGGAAACCTGAAAGTACTTTATCCTTCTAAAACTGACCTGGCCACGGTGTCCTCTCTGCTGACTGTGATCCGTTAGCAGCTGTCCCAGCTGAGGACTCCCTTTGCTTTTTGGTTTTTCCCCATGTTCAACAGCCCATACACAGTGAGGGGGTTTGGGTTTCTACAGAGAAGATGCAGAGCATCCTGCTGGGGAGGCAACAGCTTCAGAGTTTGAGGAGCTACAGCAAAGAGAATGAAATCTTTCAGCCTTAGCAGAGACTGTTGGTGTTGGGACAGGGCAGAGAGAGCAGCGTCTTCAAACGTGGACTTATGGCAGAGGAGATGTCAGACATGAGAATGCAGCAACTTGTAGAGAAAACCATCGTGATATTTGAAACAAATGCAGCCACAGTTTTCTGCAAGATCCCTTTTTCTTCCTGATGTGTTTTGTCTGGATCGTTATTTTGGCAGCAGAGAAATGCAGTGGGTGACAGTGTGGAACAGAGGTCCTGTGCTGGGCACAATTCAGGATCAGAATGCCAAACCACTTTGCTGACATCTCGTTCTGCATAGTTCTGGTTTTATCTGGAGTTACTGTGAACACTTAGTTCCTGTCAGAAACATTTAATTGCTGTCAGAACTTGTGGGATGAGTTTTAAAGTGACAGTTTCTGTGTTCAGGCATGAACAGAGCTCCCATTTTTAAGTGGTCATTTGAAATGTCTGCAGGGTTTGTGTGTCCCAGAGTATTTCAGAGCCATCCCTGTGGAAATGGCAGTGACCGTCTGTGTGGCTGGTGATTTACTGTGATAGAGCATGGGCTTTGTTCATGCTGATGAGGTTCAGGTCTGTTCAGAGGGCTCTTGCTGCCTCACACTGGCACTGCTGAAGCTCCCTGTTCCCCCAGAATACAGACACTTGTGCCAGAGTGACCCTCCTGGGGCTTTCTGTCCCACCCCACATGGAGAGTGTTGGGGACACTTCCCAAAATACAGGCAGTTGGGGCAGTTCTCAGTTGGGCAGTCTGTGGGTGACCTCTACACCCAGGTGACCACTGGTGTGAACTTGCAGCTCTCCCTTAGCCAGGGTGACTTCCAAACAGACTCTTTTCTGTTAAAAATGATACTCTTGGAGCCCTAACTGAACTGATACTCTGTCAATACTTGCATATGGAATGGAAAAATAAAACAGTACTTGCAGTCATGGCACTGTCACTCATTTTGGCACTGGTGAATGTTCACCTCACTTAAAAACTTCCCAGAGCAGCTGTTGTGCACTTCACACTTCCCAGCTGCTTGTAGCCAACCAGTGCTTGTGCTTTGGGCTTCCCTGGGAAGTCAAGTGTTTCTACAGTGTTTCTTCTGAAACAATTGAATCAGATACTCCTGCAGAACATGATTTCAGTGAAATGAGTTTAATCTGTTGTAGGTCACCAGCTCAGAGCCAAGGACCCAGAGCCTGAAGTTGGTGGTGGTTTCTGGCTCAGCCATCAGGGCAGCTTTTCCATTTGGGGAGAACTTGTCCTCTTGGGAGGTGATGAACTGTACATGCCGGGGTAGTACAGGGGCACCTTGATGTCTCTGTGCTTCAGCATGTGATAGAACTCCATCCGCTCGTCAGCAATTCTCTGGAAATCAGGGATACGTGAAGGGGTGGGAGTGCAGAGGTGGAGAGCAGCGCTGCAAAGTGTTCTCTCACCTCAGCAGTCCCTTCCTGGCTGCTGGAAGCTGAGTCTGGGAGAGCCACGTACCTGCAATGCCTCCAGCACCTGCTCCTCCGTGAGCTCGGCGTGGGGGGGGTCCTGCCCCTCCACACTGAAGGCAGCCTGGGTTATTTTGCTTCGTAACCTGTCAAACTTGGGATAACAGAGGAAAGCAGGTGCATTTAGTCTGTATATATAATTCCTTGACATTTGCATGGATTTACAGAGACTGCACTGTCAGGCCTGGGCAAAGTACTGGTGAGTGATGAGATGGAAAGTGTTTGTGAGAAATGATGGGCGTTCTGGGTTTCACTACAAGTGCTGTGGTCACGGTGTGGGTCTGGCTGGGCTGTGGCCCTTCCCCAGGCATCAGGCACGTCTGCCTGCAGGAAGTGGCTTTAAGGTGGTTCCTGTTACCTTGAGTCTGGAAGGATGTTAGAAATCTGGTGATGTGACTGTTCTGAACTCTAGTTTCTCAAGGGCTTCTGGTATTTGAGGCCTGTTTGCATTGTAAGTGGTATAAGAGCTGCCTGCTGAACAGCTGGGGAGCAAATGGACTGAGATTCCCAGGAGTGTCCCAAGAGGAAGGCAGGGCTCTGAGGTGAAAGAGGCCGTGTTTACCTTGCTGCTGATGCGTTCCAGTGCCACTTTGGTTTGCACCTCCTTGTGCTGCAGTGCCTCAACCTGGCTCTTGGTCTCCTCCTGGGCCTGTTTGTGCTCCTGGGCGTGGCGGCGGCTGGTCACAACCTCGATCCGGAGCCGTCTGATCGTCCCCTCTAACTCACTGATCTGCTCCTCCTGCTTAGCCAGCTGGGATTCCTGTTCTGTAACAACCTGAGCAGATGCAGAAATCCAACTGTTACTGTGGGGAAGAAAGTGAGCAGGTTTGGCCTCGTCTTCCCAGTATCTGGTCCAAATGCTTCTGGTATTTCCCGGGCAGAGTCTGTGGACAAACAACCTCACCAGTATCCTGTAACTGTTATTACTTGGCATTTCCTCTAAAACTGCTTGGATTGAGTAGAGGGATTAAATGCCAAACAAGCCCAGTGAAGCAGCAAATACCAGAATTTTCTCTGGTGGCTTTGCACCACATTCACCTGTCGAAGGCTGTGGTTCTCCTCCTCCATCATCACCATCACTTCTTCCTTCCTCTGTTCCTCTGTAAGGCTGCAAAACTGAAGGCAGAATATTTTACACTTTGGTTTCACAGTTACAGGTGCCCCTCCTGCCTATGAGAGAGGGAACTGCTGCGTAAATCCCGAATTCCCAGCTGCCAGGTCTCCTGACAACCACGGCCACTCGGGCTGTACCTTGTCAGACATGGCTTGGAGCTGCTCTTCTCGCTCTCTGAGCTGCTTCTGAAGCATTTTGTTCTCGTATCTGAATCTCCGAAGCTCAGATTCTTGGATCTCCAGTTGTCTTTGCAAGGAAGAGATGGCACCTGTGGAGTGGAAGTGCTGTGTTAGGCCAAAAGCTCTGTGGCTCCTTGGGTGAGCATGAGCAAAGCCATGGTCTGGGGGTAGACACTGTGGGCCACGTTAATGCAGCAGCCACAGTGACACTGGGGGATAATGTGGTTTGTGGTGCTTTGCTGGGATGTGGGTTTGTTCAGCCTGGAAAAGAAAAGGCTTTGGGGTGACCTAAATTGTGGCCTTCCAGTACCTGAAGGGAGCTACAAGAAAGGTGTAGAGACCACTCACAAGGGCCTGGAGTGGCAGGACAAGGGTGAACGGCTTCAAAGTGACAGAGAGCAAGCTTAGATTAGATATTGGGAAAAAATTATTCCCTCTGAGGGTGGTGAGGCCCTGGCACAGGTTGCCCAGAGAAGCTGTGGCTGCCCCATCCCTGGAAGTGTCCAAGGCCAGGTTGGACAGGGCTTGGAGCAACCTGGGCTGGTGGAAGGTGTCCCTGCCCATGGCAGGGGGTGGAACTGGATGGGCTTTAAGGTCCCTTCCAACCCAAACTGTTCTATGATTCCACGTGTATTAAACTACATGCCTCTGTGTGAGGTGGGCACTGCTCTGAGGGCACGTGGAGAGGGTACCATGAGCCCAGGTTTGCCAGAGCTGACACTGGTGGGTGCCCAGGGACTCTGCTGGGGCTCTCTCTGCTGGGGTTTCTCATGTTCACTTCAAGAGGAGAGAGGGAGTGTTTTCAAAACGGGTGGCAATTTCAGCCTCGCTCTGTGAGCAACACCCCGCGATGTTCTGAGAGTCAGAGGAGCCGAGGCACGCGATGAGCTGGGCAGGGGAGGGTTGTTCTGGGCACCTTCCCCGGTACCTGTGGCCATGTTGTGGTCATCCTTGGCTCTCCGCAGCTCCTCCCGGAGCTGGTCCAGGGTCTGGGTGGGTTCTGACCCCTGCGAGGCAGCAGCGGCTTCCCCGTCCATCGCCCGGGGCCTCCCGGCAGGTCCCGACGGGCTTTGGAGCGGGTTTGGAGGGGGTTTGGAGCGGGTTTGGAGCGGGGCCGCTGCCCGGCAACGGCGAGGGCCGGGCGGTGTTTTCCGCTTCCGAGTGCCCGCCCGGCCCCGGGCGGGGGAGAGGCGGCTCTGGGACCGCGGGGCCGCGTTCCGTGGCCTTGGGACCGCATCCTGCCCCTCCTGCCCCTCCTGCCCGTGCGGGTGCGCCGGGAGCGCATCCCAGAGCGCATCCCGAGCTCCGGAGCTGCGGTGGCACCGCGGGAGCGCCGGTCCCCGAGCGGACAGACCGACAGACGGACAGACGGAGCGCAGCCGCACCGAGCCCTCCTCGGGCTCGTCCCACCCTTCCTCTGCCGGCCCGACCCTCCCCTGCCTCCCCAACTCCATCCCTGTCTCACCCGACCCCCTCCCTGCGGGTTGGAACGAGATGAGCTTCGAGGTCCCTTCCAGCCCGTTGTGCGATTCCAGGATTCCCTTGGAGCACGGAGCCCAGCAGGAGGCAGAGCCCGGGGCTGGCCCGGGGCTGAAGGCTCTGCCGGGAGCTTTGGACCTTTGTCGCGGTGAGGAGCTCTGCAGGTGGGTGGCTCTGCCTGTTCCCGTGTGGCTCTCACAGACCGGTTCTTGATGTGTTTTGAAAGCTTTTTAATGGTGTTTTTATTGTATTACAGCAACATTCTTGCCTTCTTCCCTTTCAGAGTGTTCGTTTATGAACAATGCTGCTTGCAAGACTCTTTGGTCCCATCAGTTTCCAGTTCCTGCCTGTGGAATATACATCCCTAAAACTGGAAGTAGTGGTGACATTTTTAATTTAATTTCCTTTGGGAAATTATTTTTAACAGTAATTTTTCAGACTCAGAAAACCAGTGTCTTAATGCTTGTTATCCACCTCATTTGCTGTTTTTTAGTAATTTATTGAGAAAAAAGAAAGTTTTATATATCCAGAAGCCACCTCTTGCTTCTCTGTACTCACTGTAGCAGTTTATTACTCACAGGTGGGTTTCTTTTTGGTTTCATCAGCTTTAGGCCCTTTGAGGTCCTACAGGTGAAGGTTTATGTGGGTTAGGAGGGCACTTTCTGTACAATTTTAATTGCCAGATGCAGCAATTCCCACATGTGCTTTTATTGTGTTACCAAAAAAACCCAAACCAAACAAAAAAACAACCAACAAACCACAAAAGAAAAACCACAGCTATAAAAATAACACATTTTCCAAAGGTAACATTACAAAAAGTACCATTCCTGCCGTGGAGTGATCCATTAATACTGCTGGGAACAGCCCCTGTTAATGCTGGAAATGTGAATGGTTGCTGCAGAAGCTTTAAAGCATTGAAGTGCTTTATTGAGCTGTTACCTGGGGACACACATTCACACATCAGCCACAGCCAAGGGAGTTGGGGTCCAGTCCCAAAGGAGTCTGTTCCCAGTCCCTGGGGTGTGAGGGTGGGGTGGCCTCAGGGACAGTGACTCTGCACGTGTGGCTCACCCATCTCCGGAGAGTGGGAAGGACAGGAGGGAGAGGAGGCCACCCCTGTGTGCTGAGGGCTTGGAGCTGCTGTGGGACACCTGGACAGGGCACTGGAGAGGGGACCTGGGCCCGGGGCTGCTGCACGTCCAGCACTCACAGCCCTGTTCCCCCTGGAGAGGGAACAGACACTGCCTGCCTGCAGGAGAAGGTGCATCCCAGGGGAGCCCTGAATGTCATAGGTGGGGCTCGAGCTCTTGTTTTGTTCCTGCTTAGAGAGTCCAGGGCTTCGGGAAGGGTCTGCAGCCCCTTCCCCAGCCTGGGGAGGTGGGAAGCAGGTGTAGGGCTGCCTTTGGAGGCCTCCAGAGGCAGTGGGAAGGTGCCAGGAGCATCATTTCTGTGCAGGTTCCCTCAGCCTGCCCAAAATCTCGAGTGACCCAGGGCTGAGGGGGCAGATGCAGCAGCTCCCTGTCCACCTGTGTCCCTCCCACAGCAGGAGCTCCTGTGACTTCCTGGGCCTTTCTGAGACCTGCTGTGGGACATTGCCTTCCCAGATGTGTAGGGAATTAGCATTCAGGGAGGGAACACACCTACTTTGCGTGTCCTTGCTTTCTGTGCAGGTTTTTTTGCCAGCCCAAATCAACGGAGAAATTACAGCTGGGAAAAGTGACCAGGAACAAAACAGAACTGGTCACCCAGACCACTGCTGTGCTCCAGGACAGGATGGAATTTACACTGCCTGCATTCTGGCTCACCAGGTCCAACCTGTCTGCAAAACTCTCCAACAGAGCAGGGAGTGATTATCCAGACCTCTGACTTCCCAGGACAATCACTTGCTTTCTCCCTCCTCTTCCATTGCATGAAAGATTCAGAGGAGAAAAAATTGGATTTTAAATAGATAAGGCTGGAAACAGGATTTTCTGCATTTTTACATGCTACAACATGAAATTAATTTACTTGACACTGTGGTGTCTCAGGAGTCAGTATCAATTTTTATAGCTTACATGAAAATAAATCTTTCTCTCTCCTTACAGCACAATGAGTTTACTGTATGTACATTTGCTGCTGTTTATATACACCAATATTTAAGTACAAGAACACATCAGGAACAGACAAACAGGTTCTTTCCAGCTCTAGAGAGGGCTGAGGGTAGGGTTTGGCAGTCTGTCGGGAAAGCAGGATGTGGCTTCGCCTCAGTCCTGGCGATGCCTGCACAGGTGAGGGCTGAGTCTGTGCTGCAGTGACAAAGCCCTGTGGGTTTGGGACAACCCAGGGAACACAGACAGGGTCAGTGAGCAGGGATGAGAAAAACGTGCTGTCCTTACACCACGTCTGTGGGATGCAGGGATGCTCCAGGAAAACACAGACCAGCCGGTGCCTCCCGTGCCACAGGCAGGCGGAAATCCCACTGCAGCTGCTGAGCTGGCTTGGCTGCCCTCCTCCTCCTCCTCTTCCTCCTCCTCCTCACCTCGGCCGAAGCCACCGCAGTCTCCTCCCCGGGGCAGGCGCCTCCCGCCCGGCTCAGGGCCCGCAGTTCCCCTCGGACAACAAAATGACCCTTCTCCAGGCGCCCGAGGCTGCAAACACATTTCATGGGGGGCTCGGCTCCCCCCTGGTCTCTCGCTGCCGCCTCCGGAGCCGCTCAGTTGATCTCTCCCTCCGTGAATTCCTCCTTTATGGACTGTTTGCGGGATTTGCAGTCCGGGAGGTCGAAGCCGAAGTCGGCCCAGTCGTCGGCGTTGCCGCGGTTGGGGATGGTGATGGTGTGGCGCACGCGGAAGTGCACGGCCTCCATCACCCGCTGCCGCTGCAGCTCCCCGGAGCTGCCGATGGAGATGGTGGAGGCGTTGCTGCTGGAGCGGATCAGCTGCTGGGCCCCATAGTCGTGGCTCTGCTTGAGCTCCTGCAGACCCCGCCAGATGATCATCCTGTACTGCTCCGGGATCTTCAGTGCTCCGAGATCCTGGAAGGACAGCAGCGCTGAGGCACAGCCGGCAGGGACGGGGCTGTACCAGCGGGACCGAGCCCTGCACCCCCCGGTCATGCTCTGGGGGCACGTGGGCTCAAGGCCTGAGCACCCAACGGGGCAGGGCTGGACCTCCCCCAGGTCACAACAGCAAGGCTGTGGGTGCATCATCCCCCAGGTGATTCCTCTTTTGTAACCCAGTTACTCAGCCACAGCGCTGTAGGTCAGAGATGTGTTTTGGGAGGGGTTCACATCAAACCGATGTGGAAACGAGAGGAAGGACAGGGAGGGGACCATTCCCCTCAGACACAGGTTCAGAGCAGCACGTGAAGCATCCTTGTGCCTGTTCCCCTGGGCTTCTGCTCCAGCCCTGGCCTGGGAGGCTGGAGCAGCACCTGCCCCCTGCACCAGGGTGGTGACAGGGGCTGTCCCAGCACCACAGGCCGAGCTCACACAGCCAGGGGAGGTGGGTGACCTCCCACTGGGAGCCCTGGGCCAGGATGGGCACGGGCACAGCGGGGACCTGCCAGGGATCCACGTTAGTGCCAACACAGAGACTCGGGGGAGTGTTACTGGAACAGACAGTATGCAATTAGTAGCTACAAACGCCGACTTGGACACAAAGCTCAGCACCCTGACACAAGTTTTTGGCCATTCCAAACATTTCCTTGGACAGCTGACAGATGGTCATGGAGTTAGTTCAGCAAATGGTCCAAAACCAGGCTCAGGTTACGCAACTGGCCCCAGCTACCAGTGACAAATCATCTCTCCCACTGTAGGTGTAGCTGCCAGGTGGAGATGCTGCTACACCTGCCTGGGGCAAAATGGGGTTGGGCAGGAGCTCTGTCTCAGCCAAAACACCAACTCTGGGATGTACGGGGCTTGCCATGGCTCAAAGGGTTTAGGATTATTTGTTTTCCTTCTCATTCCCCTGATGGGCTGGGGAAGCCCCAGCTCTGGTGCCACCCAGGTACCGGCACCGCTGTGTGGCAGCAGCAGAGGCTGAATGCTCTGGGGCACACACAGGTACTTCCAGCATCCCCTCCGTGTTTTTCCTGCCAGCTTTTGCCTGATCTTGGCTATTTCATTCCTGGTTTCCCTTGTTATAAATGCCCTGTGCTCAACTCCTTTATTTCAGCCTCTTTTGTCTTAAAGATTAACAGGGGAAGAGGTGAGATCAGATTAAACCTCCCTCAGCTGCAGTGGGGTGTCCCTGCTGGCTCTGTGGGATTTGGGGTGTTCCACTGAGCACCTCAGCTGTGTTTTTTGTGTTAGATGGAAAATCTCCCTGAGCTCTGGCCTGGGGATCTTTAATCTCTGTTGTTTCTGACAGTCTGGAGGAACCAGCTGAGATTTGTGGTTTTCATGAAGGAGATGCTGCGAGGCTGCAGGAGTGGGAGGCAGCAACCCTGGGAGCACACGTTTTCTGTGAGGGGTTGGGGCACAGGGTTCCCTTCCCTTAAAACACTTTTGGTTTTGCTTTTCAGACCAACAGCTGCTGGAAACAAGTGGTAAGAACAGATCTTCCCAAAGCATTTACCTCTATGGATAGGTTCTGCAGGTGGTAAATATTCTGTAACCCTTGTGAGGTGAAATAGTCGATGCAGTTTGGACACCCCAATCCTGTTAAAAAACTGCAGAAAAAGTTTGGAAAATAAAGTGGCATTAACTTCTCATGAACAACAGCTGTGCTGGAAACCATCACTGTGGGACAGACTGTGTCAGGCTATGGAGGAGTGGGGGGACACGGAGAGCTCCATGGGTGGGACCTCCACTGCCACTAAGGTCAAAGGGAAGCGTGGGATTATGTTCATTCCTAAAGCTACATATGTTTTTCTCCTGATTTCAGAGGTTTTGGCTCAGGAACTTACTCAGAATAATGTGAGGGAGCTCAAGCTACTGGGGAGGGGTGTCAGGACATGCCCTGGGCTGAGCAGCACAGCCAGGCTCTGCCCCACGTGGATGCTGGTGCAGAAACATCTGTGGTCTTTTTAAAGACCAAAACATTAAAAAGCTGCAGAGCTGTTAATACATTCCTGATGGGAATAGTCCACACGGACCCATTTCCAGGCATTTCTGGAAGGAAGGGGAAGGGGGAAGCTCACAAAGCTACTGCCATTGGACATGTAGGACAAGACCCTTGTCTGGATGCATTTAACTTCTGACTAATCAGGGAAGGGTTCCCATGGGGGTGTCTGAGGGCAGTGGGGGTTTCTGGCTGGTCGGTAGCTGGGCTTTGGTTGCTGAGCTGAGAGGAACAGTCTGTGTGATTGGGAGCAGTGATTTCTCAGTTGGGGCCGGTGGCCAGTTGACCAGTTGCCAGGCAGATGGGAAGGTTAGAGCGAGGGACACAGCAAAGAACGGCAGAGGACAAGACAGGCAGTGCCCCGGGCGCCCTCCCTACCTGACGAGGCTGGGGTCGGGGTTGTAGGGCGGCGGGGGGGTGCAGTGGGACCCCGACACCATGGACTGGGACGAGTGGCCCCCGTTCATTTCCCCGTTGGGCTGCATGGGATGGCTGTTCAGCATTCCAGGTCCTGGCAGGGACAACAAACGGACCTGTTAGACACTCCCTGCCGTGATCCCCCCCCTTCCTGGGAGGGAGAGCCCCTGTGCTGGGACTGGCCAGGGGAGCACGTACCCATGGGGCCCAGGCTGGGCGCAGTGCCGGGGCCGTGCTGTGCTGGCTGCCCCACCAGCTGGTTCACAGAGGGCAGCTTGTTGATCCCTGCGCTGTGGACTTTGTTCATGGGGGAGAGGACGGGTCCGTAGGAGGAAGGTGTCTGCAGCTGGCTCCTGTGCAGGGAGGGCACGTGCTGCTCAGCCTGGGCTGGGGGGATGGAGCTGCCCCATCGCAGCCTGCAGCTCCCCTCCAGCCCATCAGACCTCCCTGACGAGGCTCCCTGCCCCTCCCCGGGGGCTGTGGGGTCTCAGGGGCTGCAGCAGGACTTACTGCCTCTGCAGGAGCTGCTGCTGCTGCTGCCGGTAGGAATCGACCAGCTGCTGCGGGACCAGCTCCACCAGCTCCAGGCTCTCCTTTATCTTCATCAGGATCTCAAAGTTCTCCCGGCCCCGAACCTGGAGGAGGGAACAAGCCCAGGATTTTGCTGTATCCCTGTCCCACCTGGCCAATTCCTCGTGGTCCCTTTTTTCCACCCAGAAATGCAAAGTGCACTGTCACTGTGACCAGAGACTGTTCAGGATCCAGCAATCCCTTGAACACGTGCATCCATGGATGCTTTTGCTCCTGTTTCCCGGGTCTCTGCCCAGCTCTGCTGCCCTGTGGGAGCCTGTGCATCCCTGACCTGCCCGACATCCCCCCCAAGGTGCTGCTGGCAGAGGGGACAATGCCACCACTGTCCCCAGCCGAGCTCTGACCCTGTGCAGCTCACCCACACTTACAGGCACGTAGTACATCTCCTCCTCCCCGTGCCTCCGTTTCTTGATGCCGGTCCCCAGCGCTGGGATGCTCTGGGGGCTCTGCTTGAACGCTGGAAGGGAGAGGGGACGAGCGTTGGCAGGGTCCTGGGAGGCAGGGCATGGTGGGGAGCACGGGCCTCGAGCCATGCAGGATGCTAAAGCCATTCCCCCGGGGCTTGGCATTGGAGTGTCCCTTTGTTATTAACAATAATGAATAAATATTTCTGGCCAGGGGAGCCCTGCACGGGCAGCTTTGGGCTCTGCAGGGAGAGGGGAGGGGTCCAACTTATAAGACGGAGATTTAGTGGAGAGAGGTCAAAGCGTCGTGCCTGGGTGTGGATTGGAGCCCGACCTTGAGGTGTGCAGGGGTCTGGGGTGCCCTGGGGGACTCACTGCGCTTGTTGGCGTTGCCGTTCTTGGCCGCGCTCTCGTTCAGCGCCTGCTGCTCCCGGAAATGATCCTCGTCGGCCTTTCGGTCCCTGCCGGGGCAGGCACAGATCCGTCCCTCGAAGGATCTCCTGCCCAGGACCTGGCCACTGGGAGAACAGAGCAATCAGTGACCCTGTTTCCCCTCGGGAAGTTGGTTGTGGCTCAGTCCAGCTCAGAAACCAGACCAGCAGCGTCCTCCCATCCCTCTGTGGGAAGGGATCCTCAGGGATGGATAGAAGCCCTCAGCAGCGGGCTCCTGGGGAAGAGGAGCTCCTGGGGCAGAGGAAGGCTCCAGCTGCAGGGGAGAAGCCAACTGAGGGCTGGGTCCCTGGTCCCTCCACGCCAGCCTTTTCTGGGCTGGCAGAGGAGAACATTCCCATGCCATGGGCTGGGGCTGTCACATCCCCTTCCCTGGGGGTGCTCCCTGCAGGGGAGGGTTCCTTCCCAAGGGCCCCCAGCCCTCCCACAGCAGGAGGGACACCCATCCCTGCTCCTACAGCCACTCACTCTCTCGTCTCCAGGGTGATGATGATGAGGATGGGCCTCCTGTTCATCCCTCCCACGCAGCTGCTGTTGCACATGAAGTTGTACAGGATGGTGGTGAACTCGGTCCCCACCTGCCCGGGAGGGGAGAGCAGGAGCTGAGCGGGGAGTGACGGGGGGAGGCAGGCAGGGACACCCTGGGGAGCGAAGAACTGGAGGGGGGGAAGCAGGCTTGTCTCCCTCAGGGAGTGAAGACGAGGGGCACAGGGTACAGGGCTGGCACCTTGGCAGGGCAGCACCAGGGAAGGGGGGTGTGGGGATGGTCCCAGCTGGAACAGGGGACTGTACGAGGACTGTGGGGTCCCGCCCAGCAGGACTAGAGGGGATGTCCCTTTGCACCCCTCATCCCTGGCCCAGGCTGCTCTGGGATGCTTCACAGGACTGGGAGGTGCAGATGCTGAATGCAGATGCTGAATGCAGCTGCCACCAGTGTGGGGGGGAGAGCAGGGGTGGCCCTAAGGTGTGCCAGGGCAAGGGGACACTCCAGCCTCGTGTGTCCTGCCAAGCAGCCCTGTCCCCGTGGGTTCACCCACAGCGCTGGCACGAGCCTGTCCGGAGGCAGAGGCCGGTCCTGCCCCCTCCCCAGCAGCCGGGTACCTGCGGGGGCTCGTAGGGCACCATCACGCTCTGCCGGCCTGTCACCGGGTCATCCACGTACTGCGACAGGTTGTTGCCTTCCACCCGGATGAGGTGGCTGGCAGGGGCTGACTGGCCTGCAAGGCAAACCTCTGGTTAGAGAAGTGGCTGCCCAGGACGCCCATTATGTGCCCACGAGGGCCGTGGCACAGGGGGGTGTGTGGCCCCCGGGCCCGGGGAGGGTGGAACTCACCGTCGTTGAAGTCGCGGCCGAGCTCGTGGTTGGGGCAGCGCTTCACCACCTCGGTGACGTGCTCTGCCTTCTTGTACACGGGCATGGCCCGGATGATGGTGCCCGGGGGCGGCGGCGTGGACACCTTGATCTGGATGGGGCATGTCTTGGCGATCTGACAGTAGAGCTTCTTCAGCAGGGGGGAGTACTGGGAAAGAGGAGACACCCGTCAGGAGAACATCACTGAGGGGACAGCGGCTGCTCCCCTGCCCGCCCTTGGCTTCCTTCACTGGGGTGTAAACACAGGCCTCCCTTCTCTTCCCTTTCCCCTGGAAATATTGAAATCTGACCCATTTCACCCACACTGTGTGGTGTCCACTTTCCACGTGAAGCAGATACAGCCACCTCGTTCAGGCATCGTTCAGCCCATTTTGAAACATTTCCCTGAGTCTGTTCTCACACCAGGCTTGTGGCTGAGTGGAGAGCTGGGAGCACCAAGGGCTGGGAACACCACAGCCCGAGGAAATTGTGCTTAATGTCATTAAAAGTGTCATGGCCAATTATACAGGACCTGGGAGTTTAATTCTGGCACAGACAGATCTGTCCTGACCCCAGCTCAATCCTTTGCAGCAGCAGTGGCTCGTGGAGGGGACACGGTGGGGACACGATGGGGACACGACCACTGCCCGGGGTGGCCATGGGAGGAGGATGCTCTGTGGCAGCTGGAGGCAGCACCTGCAGCCACTCCTGCATTGAAAACAGTTTGTGGCCACCAAATTCCTCCCTGTGAGGGCACAGAGGGGTTTGCTCGGTGGCAAACTCCTCTCACAAGGACCCTGAACGGGGGCAGCTCCTGGGGCTGCAGCTTGAGCCGCTCCAGAGCAGGGCTGGGGAAGGAGAACACGTCCTTCACCTTCCAGGAACTACCCGGACTCCCAGGTGTGGGGATGTGCAACTCCCTTCCCTCTCAGCCGTGCCATGCTGTTTTCCATCTCACAAGGAATGTGTTTGCTACACACGAGCCCACCCCTGCGCCCGTCCCTGCATGGCAGGGCATGTTCCTGCTCAAGGTATTTTATCTCATCCCCACAACACAATGCCTGCTGCCAAAAAAATACCACCGTGCAGAGTATTTGTGGGGATGTTAAAGCTTGTCCTGAGCCATCCAAATACAGGTGTGCCGAGGGGAGCCAGGCTGCAGCTCTGCTCTGCTCTCCTGGTGCGGGGGGATTCCTGAGCTGGGGCTGCCCAAAACGGGGGGCTCAGCAGCTGCTCAGATGGTCTGGGAGCAGATTCAGGGGCTGACATGAATGGCCCAGTCCCCACTTTTCCTGGCCATGAGCATATTTCAGTGCAGCTGTGGATTGGGCAGGAAGGATCTGTATCTCCCTGCCCTGCTGCTCTGGCTGCAGGATTGGAGCCATCTGTGCCTGAGTGAGGTGCTCCCACCACCTCAGGGACTGAGACAGGGGCAAAGGAGATAAACCATTTCCAGGTTTGTCTCATTTAGGTGGTCTCCAGGAGAGTTCTGGGAAGACATAAAAGGCACAGGCTCTACCAAGGCAAACAGCAGCAGCTCCTGCAGTCTGGGGATGTGTTGGGTCAGGCTGGCAGCAGGTAGCAGTTCCTGGAGGTGCAACAGTGAGGTGTCCTGGGGTCAGAGCCTGCTCAGCACTGGGGAGAGCAGCACGATGCTGTGGTCCCTGGAGGGTGTGACCAGGAGGGATAATGTGAGCTTGAACCTGGCAGCAAGAGTTAACTCTCCTTTCTGCAGGTACATGGACTTGCCCAGCAGGAGAGGGGACCTCAGAAACACCACCTGCTACTGGAATGGCCAAGTTCTGCACTGACACTGGATAATGCTGACTGCATGGCCAGGTTAGCTCCCAGCTGTGATCCCACATCCCCAGCAGGGATCAGGCCCACGGGCTCCACTGGGAATGCAGTGACTCCCCCTGCCTGGCTGGAGATGAAGCTCCCATGTGGCTGTGGCCCATGGAACCCACTTGCCCACCACACTGGGGTTTAATACCCTCTGTTTGAGGAGCCACCGTGGCAAAACAAGGGTTATTTGGAGGGGGCTCTTCCTTGCCAGGTGTTAAAATACTGACAACTCCTGTCAAAGGATCCTTTCATGTAGACATTCCCGGGCAGCCCTCAACATGCCTGGGAACTATAACTGCTCTGGAAGAGCAGAGGTGCATTATGGCAAGTTCTTTGGTAACAAATTCTCTCGTTATACCATGTTATGACATGGATAAATCTCAGTTAAATAGCAGAGCAATTCCCTGCGGGGGGAAGGTGCAGGCATGTCTCCACTGATAACCTTATCGTGTCCCAACAGCTCCGGGATCGCCTTCAAAGATCCCTCCACTCTAACAAACCATTCTTTTAAGGAACTCTGTGCTGATAATCCTGGGCAGGAAAAGTCTGGGCTGTGCCCTGGGCGGCTGTGCTCCCGACTCCTCACAGTGTGGAGCCTTCCTGTGTCCTGCCACTGCTGGGGCTCAGCACTCCCAGTGCCACAGACCCAGCCTGGGCACGGCCAACAGGAGAACCAGAATTGTCTGTTTGGGATCCCAGGAGGCTCTACATCCCCAGCTGTGCTTCCAGCCAGGAACAGCCTTTGGCAATGCACCCTCTCCATAGGGGACAGCCAAATCTGCACTGAGCAAGGTTCCACTGAGCAGGCACCTCTCTCCTCCTCATTATCTGTACTTGCTAATTATCTGCCCCGTGCCCATCTCTGTGCCAGGCTGTGCTGCATCACCTGAGGCCCTGGTACCTCCCAGCACAACCACAAGGAGCACAGTCCTCAACTTCAGGATGAGACAGTGGCAGAGCAGGAACCAGAGATCAAAACACCAGGATTTAATCACAGGCCAGTGCAGCCTCCTCACTGCTTTGGCTCTTGGTTTGCCACGGCCACATTTGTGCCACCTGCACCGGCGGAACCTCAGGCTGTTCACTCACATCCTCCCCATTCCACAGCACTTGGACAAACTGACCTCTCGAGGCTGGCCACACTGGGTCACAAAGCTCAGGTCACTCACTCTGCTGCCAACTCGCTGCCGGGCACAGGAACAAGATCTTGGGACACCTGGACACCTTCCTGGCATGTTCAGACCTCAGGAGCAGGATTCCTTTCACACCCATAGAGGAGCCTGGTTATGTTCTGCCCTGGGCACCTCCTGTCTGTATTTTCAGTCCCTGCTCTGCCCTGGGAGCTGCTGGTGTCTGACTCCACACTTACATTAGTACCAAGGTCATCTCTGTTCCTGGAAAACATCAGAGTGCCTGTTATTGTGTGTTTGAGGAGCACAACAGGTTTCTGTGGCTTGTGGCTGCTGGGTTGCTCCAACCAGCACAGAGCAGCAACAGTGCTGACAGGCTCCCTGAAGCCTATGGAAACACACAGAACCTGTATTCCTCTGGGATTTCCTGCAGCTTCCAGTGTCACCCTTGGCTGCTTGGCTGACACCAAAATGCCAGCTCCATCTCCATCCATTCCCTGTTGCTGCTGCCCATCCTGCAGAACACTAGGAATAACTGGAAAAGCCAAGTTATCTAAACCCTAGCAGCATATCAGCACTGAGCTCTTTCCCTAAGGGCTTGGTAACACAAAGGGTCTTTGGATGTGTTTGAGCTGTGGCTGCTTCTTTGGTGAGATGAGACCTCAATGCACCAGTGCCAGGTGTAACAGGACACAAATCCAGCCGAGGGACAGAGCTCCTGGTGCCACTGGCTGCTGTGAGGCTTTACCATAGTTTTCTTGGTGCCACTGCCCCAAGGTGTGCTGTGCACACCACAGGATCCCAATGAGCCAATGCCCCTCAAAGGGCTGTGGATGCAGCGCTGATGTGGAGCCTCAGCATCCGCTGCTGCCCACCCTGATCAGGGACCAGGACCCGCTCCAGAGGCCACTGCTGTGCTCAGCCCTGGGGCTGCCTCCCCACGCAGGAAGAGGTGGTTTTCCCCATGGATGATGACAGCCTTGCACAAAAAACAGCCTGAATCCTCTGCCTGGACAGACCTCCCGGCACAGTCCATCTCGCCTGGCCCTGCACGGGCAGCAGAACCGCTAGGAGGATGTGTCCCAACAGATTCGGAGCTGATAAAATCTTATTTATCTTCAACTGTTGACACTGAAGCGTCTAGACTTGCCTGTTCGGGAGGCAGCCAAGGCCTCCTTTCCCTCTTGAAGGAAATGATTTGCTCAACAATTACTTTTTCCACAAATCCTCCCCCCCTCCTCCCTACCAGCCTCCTCCTCTCCTACATTCCAGTCTCCTCATTAGCTCTACTCAAGACGTGTCCGGGGCTGCAGTCAATGGATCCCAATAAAGCCACTGGCCTGGCAAGGGGGAGAGAAGAAAAGTGCTGCCTCCGGCTGCTAATTTCCTTGTGCTCCCCAGCAAGCAGCTGCGGAGCTGCATCCTGGGACAGGTTCGGGCAGATCGCAGCCCAGAGGTGATAATAACGTGTCTGTCATCTTCCCCAGGCGTGTAGCATCTTGCAAACCGCAAATACCGTTAACCGGCTCGGACGAATCTGTTACGGCAGATCCTGGAAGATGTGCCGACTGCAGAGCTAATTCTTTTTCTGCCTAATTTTTTTAATAACCATTTTTTAATCACCGACCTGTAAACTCCTCACTGAGCTGGAAATTCCTCCCCAAAGCTACTTTGTTGCTCATTTACTATGAGCTGGGTTTGAAGATCTCCAGCGCATCAATGATGCTCGAGAGGAGAGGAGAGTGTCCAGCGGGGCCTGAGGTACCTGTCCAGCACACAGGTGTGCTGGGAAGTGTGGGCACTGCCCTGGGCGTGGCTGTAAGGGGTGCCCTTGTACCTGTGTCCCTGCCTCTCCAGCTCCTGCACCACAGCAGGGATGGATCAGGGATGCTGTAAGGGATGCTCCAACCCCCACCTCCCTGTGCCTGTGGTCCCTACACCACAGCTGTGATGCACTGGGGTGACACCAAGTCATCACCAACCGTGCTCAGGACATGGGGTCTCAGCAGAGTCCCCTGTTCCCCCCAGCCATCATCAGCTGCAGGGGACCCCCATCACCCTCAGGTCCCCCAGACCACTGAGGTCCTGGGGCTGGGGCTGCCCCCCAGCAGGGCAGCACAGGGAGGGCTGCATGTGCTCCAGCCTGCATCCTTCTACCTTAATTGGCCTGTCACAACTGCTAATTGAAATCCCT